GGCGGGGAAGGGGGGAGGACGTGTTAGTTGCCATGAATGCGGGGCCGAGCCACGGGGCCGGGCGGCGGGCTTACGGTGCGGTGCGGCGCGGCCGGCCGGCCGGGCGTGGGGCACGTCAGCAGCTGCGGCTGACGTCGGCGCGTGTCAGCCCTCTGTGTACTCTTCATGCCCATTTCTGTGACACACATGCGCTCGCACTTGCGCGTGCGAACGCAGACACCCTGCCCCTCACTCTCATGCAAGCATGCACGCACAAACGCATCAGCCACATTGGTTCAACGCGCTCCCGCCCTCTCATGCTTGCATCCCCACATTCCACACCCCCCCCCCCACACACACACACCCACCTGTCCGCAGGCAGCTGCCCGCCATAGTTCTCCCGCAGGTGCTGGTTGAATATCGCCCGCGCGTTGTCGCGCCGCGCCACAAACAGCTGGCTGTCGTTCAAATTGAACACGCGGCGCCAGGGCAGCAGGAAGGCCGCCTTCTGGTCGCCAAAGACGGCGTAGGACACGTATATGAGGCGCTGGAACGCCTTGCGCTGCTCAAACTGCTGGGAGCGCTCCTTGGTCTCGTAGCCGGCGCGGCTGAGGCGGCGGCCGACCTTTGGGGTTGTGTGTGTGTGTGTGTGTGTGTGTGGTTTGTGTGTGTGTGTGTGTTTTTGCACGTGTGTGAGATGGCAAGAGAGAGAGAGACATGTTGAGGATGTGGGGAGGGATATGCACGTGAACGGATGTGAATGTGCGTGTGTGTTCTTTGACGTGCTGGACCCATGGATCCTGCTCGCTGCAGACGTCCCCTGCTGCTAATTGCATCACGCCCAGAGCGCTCAGCAATGCGGCGTCGCGCCGTGGACCAGCGTTCCGCGTTGGGACCAGCGTCCCGCCGGCGTGCCCCCTCCCCAAAGGGGCGCAGTATCCACCCCTGTGTCCCCTTTTCTCCCCCTGCGCCGCACCTCGATGAACACAGGCGCCGCCTCCTCATCCCCCAGGCCGAGAGCTTCCTTGAACAAGATCAGCTTCGGCGCCTCGTCGCCGCTGGGGGGTCGAGGAGCGAGGGGCACGGGGGGGCGAGGCGGCCGTGAGGGAGACGCGGCTGGCGGCAGGGCGGCGGACTGGCTCGTCGGGCTGGGGCCAGCCGCTAGGATGAAACCTCTTAAGGCGCAGCACCCGCAGCGGCAGCCCAAGAGCTGAGCACAACCTCAACCTCATAAACCTCTGCAGCTCATAGATATATCAAATCGTGAGATCAGATCAGGTTTAGAACGCGGCGCACCGCAGCTGCGTGTCGCCCGCGGGTATGATGTTCTCGAGGTACTGCCCGAAGATCTGCTGCAGCCCCGTCATCTGCTCCTTCTGCATGTTGATGCCGTACTTGGCACCCACACCGCTGACGTCATCCGCCGTCAGCTCGCTGGGGTCGTCCAGAGCCACCAGCAGGTTGAACAGGTCAACCACCGCCGCGCGGTCGCGCAGCTTCTTGGCCTGCGGGGGTGGTTGATATTTTGTGTTGTGGGAGGGGAAACGTGAGATTTTTGAGGGATCCTTGGGGTGAATGGTGGGCGTGTTGCCCCCGGGGGGGAGGGTTGGCGGGACCAGGCGCTTTTGGACGGGGCTTGGTGCAAGAGAGAGGGGTGTGTGGGTGCTGCTTTTGATGCAAGGGCCGGAGTTGCGTCGATGTGCTCTGTTGGAACGCCAGACGCGCAGCGCTGCATGGGGCGCCGGGACCCTGGCACTCAGGTACGAGTGAAAGGGGGGCTGGGACAGGACGGCTGGCAGCTGAGCGCCGGACGGCGCGCCGGACGGCGCGGGGGGCGGGGCCGCCCGGAGCTCATGCTTTGAGGGCCGGCGGCCTCCATGCGCGGCCCCGCCCAAGCCCCGCCACGGCCCACCGCTGCCAGCGAGGCGGCGCCGCACCCGTCTGTAACCCGACGCGCTCGCGCCGGCCTGGCCGCCCCGCCTTCGATGCATGCTGCCCTGCAAACAAGAACCCCGGCCCGCTCCAGCGCCGCCCGCCACACAAGCGCCGCCACCAAGGGTGGCTCGAGCCCGCCGCCGCCCAGCACTGGACGCGCCGCCCTCGCGGCCAGATGCGGCTGAAGACCACGCCGGCCCCGCCAATTATGAACAGGCGACCCATGCCCAACCCCCCCATATTGGAAAACAGAGCCCGGGGCCGCACCTGCAAGCCTGCATACACGACCACCCCCGCCGCCGCCACCCCAGCCACAGACGCCACAACGTCCCTGACCTCCGGCGCCACTGCAGGGGCAGGCGCGATTCGGGGCGGCGCCGTGTCAGACAAATGGAATGGCGGCACGCCGCCGTTTCAGCGGCCCGCAGCTGCCGTGCAGCTTCCACCCAGCTGCACGGGGCGGGGAGGGGGCCCGCGCCGCAGGACGATGCTGCCCGGGGGGACGCACCAGGCGTGGCGCGGCCTGCCGCGGAGGCCGCGAGGCCGGCGGCGGCGGCGGCGGCGAGGACGGCGGGGTAGTAAAGCGCGAGCGGCACGCTGGCGAGCAGCTTGGTGTTCGACTCCAATGGGATCTCAGCGGGGAAGGGCCGCGAATAGTCAATGTTGAGGAGGTCGTCGGTCGGCTCGTCGGCCACCGCGGCGGCGCCGTCGTTGCCCTGGCGGGGGGTGGGGGGCCGGCGCGCGCGTGGGGGCAACGG